TACACACTTTTTAAATTTTTCCTTACATAAAAAATTACAATTTAGTTTTCACATGAGTTAATATTTTTATATTAGTCATTATCGTTAAAAATATGTTAACGTCATTATATGAGACTGACCAAAATGTAATATATATATATATATATATATATATATATATATATATATATATTAAAGTGTAAATATCAAATATAGAAACTAATTTGTAAATAAATATAATTATAGATTAAATATATATTTAAATTAGAATTAAAAAAATTGTGAATTTGTTTAGAAAAAAAATTGAGGTAATCAAAAAAATTGAGAAAAGTACTAACACAACAATTTCAGAACTTCTCTATTTAAAAAAAATACATAATTGTTATAATATTTTAAATATACTTAATTATCAAAACTAAATCAAACAAACTCTTAGTCACTTCTTTTCTTTTTCTTCTTATTATATAAAAAATAAGAAATTAAATATAATTCATATAACATAAAATTGATATAGTAACAATAATAAAAATAAAAGAAAGGCAAAAAATAAAGCCTAATCTTCTAAATCTTTTTTTTTTTTTACCGGGAGCACTAGGCTAAATAGATATCATTATGTTGTCTTAATTATTTCAAATTTTGATTGATTTTAATTTTAAAATAAAAATAGCTACTATGATAATAAAGTTCACGAGATAAATAAGTGAGTCAAATTTTAAATATGTCCAAGTTTTAATCATTTCTTATAATATTCAAAATTGTTAAATTAAAATTTGTTTCTGTTAAGATACACTCATTTTCTATCCAACAATCAAAGTCTATAACTTTATGTCTCAGAATGGAGATACTTCTTATAACACTCCAACAGTCAAGTAAGTATTTGGTATAAAATGTTATTTAATATTATGTAGTTAATCATTTTACCTATTCTTCTTACTTTTCCTTTGTAGGCACTATATTAGATTAATGAGCTTGATGAGTCGGTCTTGGATTAACTTTCTAGTAGTTTAGATAATTAATTATTTTCTTATTAGTTAATCATAATGTTAGTTTATTTTAATATGACCAAAGGGGTGTTAGTACCCTAGAGCAAAGCCAAAGGGGTTATTGGCACTTCTCGTCCAAAGGTGAAGCCGAAGGGATAATTGATACTCTTCATTCTAGGACAAGGCCGAAGTTATTTGAACTTCTCATCCAAAGGTGAAGCCAAAGGGGTAGTTGATACCCTTCGTCCTAGAACAAGATCGAATGAGTGATTAATATCTTTCATCCTAGGATAAGGCTGAAAAGGTACTCAGTTCTCTTTGGTTACAAGGGTGACCGAATAGGGTCTTATCCGGTACAAAATTCTTTCAAAAAGTTCAATCGAAACTCATTCATTTTGTTATTAAAATAGAAAGGTTGAAAATAGTAGAATGTTAGTTAGATATGTTTTTAAAAGATATTTTCAAGCCTTTTTTATGATAACACTTGTAGAGCGTGTAAGAAAGTAAAAACTAGAAAGATAATCACAAAATATTTATATTAATTGACCTTAAACAATAAGCTATATCCTATCGTTTACTTCAACCAAATTTTTTACTGTTTTTCATATTTATGTACATGTATTTTTTCAAGCTTAAACAAAATGCTATATTAAAAAATTGCCTATTGAATTTATCCTTCATCTTCAAACTCACCTACATGTTGTAACACTTCAATTTTCGTAATCTTTTATGATAATTATATATATGTGTATGTTGTGATTTTTATATGCATTTGGATTTATGGTAGTGATATGGATGTGTACATTGATATGTTGTAGTTTAAATGTAAATGTTTGCCTGTGAATAGACTGAAAATGCTTGAGAGTATAGGCTGATTTGTGCTGCATGGGGCATTATCGCTTGAGCGAGAGGATTCTCGTTGTAGCGAGAAAGTCGCAGGAGATGTAAGTGTCTTTGTTGCGTTCTCGCTGTAGTGAGAAGGCAACAGAGAGGGGTGGTTTTCTGGGCTTAGTCTCGCTGTAATGAGATTATCCAGAAAATAAGGTACATATTTGTTTGATATTTTTGCTGCAACAAGAGATGTCTCGCTGTAGAAAGAATATCGCGACTCCTAGAATATTTGAAGGGTTTAGGGTTTCAGAAAATGGATTTTCCACTCTTTGTTTTCACCTCGCCTTCAATTCTCTCAACTCTCACCGTAATTATTTCACCGATTAAATTGCCTCTAAGGCTATTTGCACCCTAGATTGAAGATTGTGATTGCATTTTAGGTGTTTGGAGGTAAGTTTTATGAGTTAAATTTTTTATTTTCACCCTCTCTTCATTTTCCTTGGTTTCTCATGGAGTTTTTCATGTATTTAGGAAGAAAATTCGTATAGGGAGCAGTTCTACCATCAATTTCGAGTAGGTCTTCATTTTGAGGTAAAAGGGGATTCTACCCTATCTTTTAGTGTTTAGAATTTGTTTGTATTGTTATGTATTGGAATATGATTGATATAGAACATAGAAAGATGGGTGTTTTGATGAAAATGATTTGATTGCAATAGGGTTGTGATGAAAATTTTGTGTAGAACTTAGTGTGATTAATATTGAGTAATGTGTGCGATGAAAGTGGTTGAGTATGTGTATACGTGCCATGATTGAGAATGTGGGTGAATGTGTGAATGGCATGTTGATTGTGATTGTGGTGTGTTTGAAATGGTTAAAAACTATGAATTGTTACAGCGATATACTGGGGTGTGGAAGATGGAGGATGGTAGGAATACCTTAGGCGAAAAGAGAGTGGTGGTAATAACAACAGTGAGCATGGGTACACCACAATCTACATACCATTCTCCTAACTCGATCTCTGACCAATACCTTGGCTAAGGGGCCATGACCGCACACGTTGTATCCGTAAAGCAAAGGCTAACTGACAACCATTCATGGTGTGAAACTGAGTAAGTCCTTGAGGCTAAGAATATCAAGAAAACTGTGATTACAATGCCACAGTGAACGTGACAAACATGCAGTGAACGCACATGTGTGAAAGGATTGAAGATGTTGTGAGCGCACCTGAACATGTTTGATGTGTGAATATGAGGTGTATGTTGTTGAAAGGAATGGATTAATGCATGTTTAAAATGTAATTTTATCATATTATTAATTGTTGTAAAATAGGCAAGGTGAGTCTTTATATTTATAAGTGTGTGATAGTGTAGAGGACTCACCCTTACATTTATTTTTTAGGTGACCAAGACAATTAGCACTAGGCTCAATGACTGGGGATGAATGATACTGCTATAGGACTCAAAAAATTTATTTTAAAACTTATGGTGTACTAGATAAGTCTTGTAACATTTATTTTGATTTCAAACTTGTAACTCGTCCCATATTTTGAAATGCTTTATTGAAACGATGTATTTAAAGTTATTTGAAAGGAAATTCTATTATTATCTTCTTTTTAATTTACGAAAATATAATTTATTTAAAAGTAATTATTTAAAATTAATTGAGGTATTACACATATTCTCTCTCGTAAGTATCGTTTACTAATGTGAAAGAAATTTTTTTTATCTTGATCGTTAGATTCAAATCTTTCATTGGAATAACTTCTTAATTTTAAGTTGTCATTAAGTTGTTATTAAGGGTGTTTATTATAGTATCCTAAAATTTTTTATGGGTACCGTGCTCTAAAAGATTTCTATCAATAAAAAAGAAATATGTGACAAGTTATAAAAAAGTATATTATTATATATAATTTATTTAAAATTATTATATATATTATTTATGTGGAGAATGATCTTCTTACACTAATGTAAGTCTAAAAACTTTTATACTTAATCTGAGTCATTCATTTAACTTAAATCTAATGACTAGTGAAGTAATAAATTATAACCGTTAGATTTAAATTAAATAAAAAACTCAAATTGAATGTAAGAGTTTTTAAATTTACACTAGTGTAAGAATATCCTGTTCCTATTTACATATATTTGTAATATATGTGTATATATATATTGTATATTAAATTTTTTATTTTTTTCTATCATTTTTTATAATTTTTTAGTTTTAAATAGAATATAATTTTTATTTTAGTAATTTCTATTTATTATAAATAAAAAATTATAACATAATATATTAATATAATAATCAAATAATTAAATATTAATAATAATAAAATTAAAAATATAAATAATATATTAGTATAATATATTTTTTTAATTTAAATTTATTTAATTTTAATTATATTTTTTTTTATTCGAAGATTTAACTTCTCTTCAATTTGTTCAATTATAGCAAATAAATAATTTATTATTAAATAAATTTATTATTTAAATACGTATCTAAATATTATTGATTAAGATTTTTCTTATATGATATCCTAAATATTTTTAAGAATACCACATAATTTACCTTAAGTTAAGTAAGTATTTTATAAAAATTAATTATAATATTTAAAACATAATAATTGAAAACCATAAATGCACCTTTATAAATTTTATATGGTTCAAGTAAACAATCATTGTCGATACTACCATTACAATATTATAGTTGATACTAACAGTACAATATTATAGTGATAAATTTAATTCCAATAATTATGATAAAAGTGAAGAACTCTCGCTAGTAGCAACATTAATATATAAAATCAACATTAAAAAGAAAATTTTTAAATAAACAATGTTAATATGTATTCATTAATACAAAATTAAAACAATCATTAATTAAATAAGTTTCAAATATTAACTAACTACAGGGCAATATATTATTAAAGGTTTTCACAAAGTTATTAAAAAATAAAGGTTTAAACCCACACGCGGTGGCTGCTTTTAGCGTGGGGAGTCTACCTGTTCACTTAGGTATAAAATAATGTAATAGCGAGCTCCACGCGACCACTTTAAAAATAATCTTAAACAAGAGCTACAATGACCATCCATCAAATTCAAGATAGCACAACGTTTGTCCTATAAAACTCAATGGTTTGGTTCAATATAAATGGATAGTTTACAACACGGGTGCAACAACATTGTTCGAGTACCCACTGAGTCACTAAGAAATAATTGTGGATTTCTTTGTACACACATGGCAACCTTCACTTACCACACTGAAACCGTTCAATCATGGTTGCCACTTAGTAGACTTCACATGATTTTGCACTTAGTGGCTGTCGTGATGTTGTTTTACTACCGCATAAGCCATATAATATATGACAATAAATTGCGAACGTTGCCATGGGTTCTGATGAGCGTAGCAGAGTTGATTCTGGCAATGATGTGGGTTTTCAATCAGTCGTTCCGGTGGAGACCGGTTTCTCGTTCCGCGATGACTGAGAAGTTACCGAGTGATGAGAAGCTTCCGGGGGTTGACATATTCGTGTGCACTCTAGACCCTGAAAAGGAACCCACAGTGGAAGTAATGGACACTCTTATTTCAGCCACTACCATGGATTACCCTTCCAACAAGCTTGCAGTGTATATTTCGGACGATGGAGCGTGTCCTGTGACGCTGTATGGAGTGAAAGAGGCTTATGAATTTGCGAAGGAGTGGGTACCATTCTGCAGAAAGTATGGAATCATGTCGCGGTGCCCCAAAGTGTTCTTCTCCCCAATGGGTGAAGAGGAACACCTTCTTCGCTCAGATGAGTTCAGAGCAGAGCAAGAGCATCTCAAGGTACCCCTTTGCGTCTGTTCGTTACTTCTTTGGTAAACCTTTCGGACCCAACTATTTTAAGACTCTTTCGTAAAGTTACTTTTACAAACTGTTTTTTAAAGGAAGAGAGATGGAAAATTAATAGACAGAGTAACAAAGACTCCTTTTTTATATATAATCTTTTTCAAAATTCAAAAAATATAAATTTTTCTTTTTAAATTACAAAAATATGAAATTTAAAATCGTTAATAAAATTTTTTTTAGTGTAAGTATATAAATTCAGAAATAAAAAAATAAAAAATGATAAAATTTTAAAAATATTACTGATGATTTTTAAAAGAACTGTATTTTCGTAATTTTGCTGAAAATTCTATATTTTTAAAGTTTTGAAAAAAAAATCATATATAAAAATTAACCCAAGTAACACACCGCGGGATTTACAATAATAATTAAGAAACAATGGACCTTTTAAAACTCCCAGAGAGCTATCTTATTTAAAACATTTTTCAAACACTACACTAACCAAGTGAGTTTTTATTTTTTTTCTGTTTTCAAAAATGGAAATCTGTTTCAAAAAATAATATTTGTTTTAGCTTTTTTATCTTTGTTTTAAATAAAATTAAAATTAAGAAAATAATTTATAAACTTTTAGAGACTAAATTATTTTATCCATATAATTCAAAGTTTAATTCGACAGTTTGTTCCTTTTTAGATCGGAGTAATATGTTATATTGGTGTCTAAAATTATATTTATTTGCTATGATCATAAAAAAAAAAATATTCAAAATTATAAAAAAAATCAGTCATTTTGATATTTATATATAAACTCAATCAAAAAAGTCCAAAATAAATACCCATAAACTTAATAATGGATAATTTTAATATGTCATGTCCCAAAATCTTCTTCAACGGGCGAGGAGGAACAGATTCTTCGCTCAGATGAATGCAAGGGCAGAGCAAGCACAGATTTTCATTTTTCATTTTATTATATATGCAATATAATAAAATAAAAAATTAATAAATAAAGGAGATATTAAATGAATAATAACACTGTCAAGTGTGTAAATTTAAAATTATTCTTTCTATTGGTCTATGATATTATTTTTTAGTAACGATTGTAAGATTAAACATTCTGGATTTAACTTATTTCAAGTGAAAAAAATGTAAATATCTCAATTATTAGAGTAAAAATCAAGGAAGTAAATGTTCACAAGTTTATAATTTTTAATAAATAAACATGTTATATTGATTGTCTATTAAACATGTTATAATTTTTTACAATGTTTTTCATGAAACTAGTTATTATTAAATATATCACACAGAATATACAACAACAATAATATATACATGATCTCGTTATTTTCACAATTTCTCTTGTGTTAAGGTTTTTTCTTTAAATTTCAACTTTAATTGTTTTCATAATTTTTGTATTGTTTTTTAAGTCAGATCTCAATTATTTATATTTGACTTTTTTCCAAATTTAAATCACTCATTTTTATAATAATTTAATTAATTAAATATACATAGGTCTCCTATTATTTTAAACATTTTTAAAATTGACAATTCTTAAATTTTACTAAAAAATATTTGCGAGTTCAGTTAAAGCTCATTTTCATTTTGTTGCATTTCAATATAAGGTCAAAATTCGTGCTATAATTTCCTCCTCAAATGACAATTTGGTGTTTTGCAGGCTAGATACGAAAAAATGCAGAAAAATATTGAGAAATTTGGTTCAGACCCTAAAAATTGTTCTATTGTGTCTGACAGGGCAACTCGCATTGAGGTACGAATTTTTCAATCAATTAATGGCTATCGGTAACTTTTGATATTCATAACAGTGGACTCTAAAGATAAAATAAAACTATGATACAATCAAGATAAGCTTGATATTGCCTTAACTTGAGAGAACAAACTAAGTTCATACTAAAATATGGTAGATGATGAAGATTTATTTAATCATCAGTGGTACAGATGAAGAAGGTGACATCCGATTAAATTCATATTTTGCACAACATTTATCATATGGAACGAAATTAAATGTTTAATTTGGGTGCAATTAACTTCATAAAAAAGCTTTGTTCAATCATAATGAAATCCTGATGATGTTACATTTTATTTTTGTAGATAATAAATGAGCAGGGAGACTTGCCACTGATTGTTTATGTGTCTCGTGAAAGAAGACCGTCCGTTCCTCATAGATACAAAGGAGGAGCCCTTAATACGTTGGTGTGTGTTCTCTGAATTTGGTTTCTGTTTTTATCTTTCTGAGTGTTTGATACACTTAATTAATCAACTGTATTTACAGCTTAGAGTCTCAGGGCTAATCAGCAATGGCCCCTATGTACTTGTCATGGATTGTGATATGTATTCCAATGACCCATCCTCAGCCAAACAAGCTATGTGCTTCTTTCTTGATCCTGAAACCTCTAAAGAAGTTGCCTTTGTTCAATTCCCTCAAATGTTTCACAACCTTAGCAAGAAAGATATTTATGATAGCCAAACTAGGACTGCTTTTAAGGTAAATTATTAAGTACTTTATTTTCTTTCTCTCACTTCTCAAGGTGGTTTACTTTGTTTTATCATAATCTATTTAATGATATATCTTAATTTTTTAGACAATGTGGCAAGGAATGGATGGCCTTAGAGGCCCAGGTCTTTCTGGTACTGGAAATTACTTAAGTAGAAGTGCATTACTCTTTGGAAGCCCTAACCAAAAAGGTATATATTGCTTCATTATAACTTTATCATTATTATTATATATGTTTCTTTGTTAATTCATTCTTTTGGTAATTTGCAGTCTACATAGTCTTTTGTCAACCATATATTAATTAAACTTTAATGAACTATCCTTTTGAAAAAATTTATTGAAAGTGTACAAACTAATACACTTACCATTGATATCAAAATACAAATTCCGAGAAAGAACCAATATTTTCCAAACCCTTGCATTTCATGTCCTACCTATTATAACTTGATAAAATGTAACTTACTAAGTGGGTGTTTGGTTCAACTAATTTCTTAAAAATAACTACAAATGTAAAAAATGATTTCTATGAAATGAGCTATTCTTATACTGCAGCTATATTTAGTAACTGTTACTAATTTTGTATATAATTATTGATCATAGCTTATTTCTAATTCAAGTTGCGTGGAATTGATTTATGATCATAGATGACTATCTACTCGATGCCCAAAACAACTTTGGGAAATCTACAATGTACGTTGATACACTGAAGGCCATTCGTGGACAACCAAATTCCACAAGGAATGTTTCAAAAGATGTGAGTTTGCAAGAAGCCCAAGTAGTGGCCTCTTGTTCCTATGAAAAAAACACAAACTGGGGAAAAGAGGCAAGTATATCTTGATCACACCTTGATATTTAGTGATAAAGAATAATTAGATTATGAAGGAGAAAAATTGAAATTTTTTGTAAATGTAATTTGATTGATATCCACAGGTAGGATTCTCATATGCTATATTACTGGAGAGTACAGTTACTGGGTATTTTCTGCACTGCAGAGGATGGAGATCAACCTATCTTTACCCAAGAAGACCATGTTTCTTGGGGTGTGCCCCCACAGACATAAAAGAGGGCATGATTCAATTAACGAAGTGGTTGTCTGAACTTTGCTTGCTTTGCTTCTCCGAATACAGCCCTTTTACTTATGGATTTTCAAGAATGCCCATAGTTCACTGCTTGACTTATTGCTTCTTTACCACGTCAACCCTCTATGCTGTTGCCTTCATCCTTTATGGCATTGTGCCTCAAGTATGCTTCCTCAAAGGAATTCCTGTCTTTCCAAAGGTTGCTATTGTTATTCAATTTTATTTTATTTTCTCATTTTCTATTATACTACTACTATAAGATTTTTCCATTGTGGGCATTTTAATATTGAGTTTAATTTTGATAAATTTAATGAATATATGTTCAATATTTAATGCTGCAGGTCACAGAATCCTGGTTTGCAGTGTTTGTAATATTGCATGTCTCCACTCAGATTCAACATTTGATTGAGGTCCTTTCTGGTGGTGGCACCTTGGGAATATGGTGGGATGAACAGAGAATTTGGATTCTAAAATCTGTTACTGGATGTATATTTGCACTTCTAGAAGCAGCCAAGAAAAGGTTAGGATTGAACAAAGCAAAATTCACTTTATCAAACAAAGCCATTGACAAAGAGAACCTTAAGAAATATGAGCAGGGTATGTTCAATTTCGAAGGTGCAGCTATGTTCATGTCTCCATTGGTTGTATTGCTCATAATAAACATTATTTGCTTCTTTGGAGGTTTATGGAGACTACTCAATGTGAAAGATTTTGAAACCATGTGTGGTCAACTTTTCCTACTTAGCTATATAATGGCTCTTAGTTTTCCCATTCTTCAGGGGATAGCAACTATGAAAAGCAAAGGTCAGTAGATGTTCATCAATGTTTAGGCTCACTCCAGTATTTGAATTCTCTTCATAAATGATTAGGGCCATTAGAAAAATCTGAACTACAAAATATGTTATTGTATCTTGAGATGTAATACCTATGGTCCATCATGTATGTTGAGCCTCTTTAATAATAAATGTGCATGCTACTATTTTATTAAATGTATCTCTTATTTATAACTAGATTTTGTATTAGAAAACGATGTATATAAATTTAGTGTTTTTTTTCCAGACTATACACAGATAGATCTCTCTCCTTATTAAAATTTATCTTTGAATAAGGATTCTCTTACATATATAATTTAATAAAATATAACTATGTTCTTCCAGTGTTATTGTTTAAAATTTTGTAGCATATCTTTTGTACTTCTTTTTATAAATCAATAAAATTTTAAGATGAAGGACTTAATTTAAATATTTAAAAAAACTAGAGAGACTAAATATAAGTAATTAAAATTAGAGAGATAAAAAATGCATTTATATTAAAATATAGATACCAAAGTGAAATTAAATCATTTCTTTTTAAGATTTGTGTTGATATAAAAAATTGCAAAATCCTTCGCAATAATTTTAAAAATACCATAATTTTATGGTAAACAAACAAATTGACAAATTGCAACTTCAATTTAATCGTGAATTTTAACTATTAATATATTATGGCTAAATTATACTTCTGTTTTTCCTTCAAAGCTTTTTATTTAATACATTTTTTAAGTTATTATTATTGTTTATTCAACTAAGTTCTATATGTTATTTTTAAAGAAAAATAATCCTTTAACTTTGTTTCATATATTAACTTAACCAAAGTTTTTAAAATCATAGTATTTTGGACAAGAATATTTTTCTTGTTATATATTATTTTATGCATTGATTATTAAATTATCGCCTAAAATTTTAAAATTACCAATTAAAATAAAAATTAATAAAATGTATTCCTAAATAATAATAAAATAATTATAATGAGTGAAAAATTAATTTTATTAACAAAGTTATATGTATACACAGGCTCAACTTAGAGTAAATTGAACAACTTTTCGAAGTTACGTTTTAAAATTGATTTAATTAAAAAATATTTTTTATGGCTTTAAATTTTTTAAAATTTTAAATAATTCAATTTTTATTTTTAATTATTTTTATAATTTATATTAAATTAGATCAAATTATAAACTCACCGAATAAAGATGTTAAAGGAGAATTATGATATTTTTTTTTTTCATAATGCGAAAGTGTCCTTTGAATTTCAACTCCTGGACCTGGACTTCTCTTAATCTTTGTCGAAAAAATTATGAAGTAATAGAAAAGTATGTGAATATATATATATATATATATATATATATATATATATATATATATGACACTAAAAAGTTAAATTTTGTTTATTAAAGTATCGGTTTATTATAATTATAAAAAAATATTATAAATTATATTTTTTACTTTTTTTAAAAATACTTCTTTCTCACTTATTTATATCTAAAGATAAAAAAGTAAGTGTAGTAGAATAACATGAAAAAAGGTGAAATATGAGATCGGGATCCTTTGTAGTTTTGGCAAAAATTGCACCCTATAATGCGTTTTTATTTAAGCGAATTTGACAAAAAGTGATTTTAGTTTAAGTCTGAAAAATTCGCTTAAGCTAAAAAGTAATTTTTGCTTAAGTCAATAAAATTTACTTAAGCGAAAATGAAAAATTTTGCTTAAATTAGAAATAGGGGCTAAAAAACAAAAAAACAAAGAGAGATAAGAAGACCGAGAGGGAGATGGAAGGGAAAGCAAAAGGGAGAATGAAGGTGAGGGAAAGCAGAAGAAGGAGAAAAAAAAGCTAGATGAGAAGAGAAAAAAATGAGAATGACTGGTAGTGAAGGAGAGGAGAGCCTGAGGAGAGAAGGAAAAAGAAACTAGATGGAGCTGAAGGAAAAAGAGAGGTTGGGGGATGAAATGGAGAAGATGGGGTGGGGTGAAGAGGAGAAAATGAGAAAAGAGTGGGAAAATAGAAGGGACTAGGATGAAAAAAAAAAAGAGGACTACGTTTTTTATTTTATTTTTGTTTAAACACATCTAAATTTGTTTCGTTTAAACAAAAATAAAACGGCAAGTTGCAGTAGTTCTTGCGTAAACTTGCAAAGATCTATTTCAGTGAAATATGTCGATGTCGATTTTGTCCTCACTTGATTATAAAATATAAAATAATGGTAAAGCGAGCTACACGCCACCCCTTTAAAAGAATGGCACCGCAAATCTTCATAAATCATAATCTTGTGTTTCCCTTTTCAATTTTAATTTTAATTTAATTATTTTGTATATGAATTGTCACACTCATTTATAGGATACATAAACAAATAATATTATGACTATTTAAAAAGATGTCAACCTTTGGACGATTCTTTGATTCTTTCACCTTCAAATTAATTTATATACCTGAAAATGCACAAAAATATCGACAAAGGGATGCTAATTTACTGTGAAATAAAGGCATTTTACGATGTAAAATACAATAATAATTCAATTTATGGAATACTGCAACATAATAGTTTTTCAAATAGAATTTTTTACTTTAGTAGGTGATTATCACAACAAAACCACGTATCATATATCACCCATAAAAAATTATTTCGTATTACTATCAATTTTGACAAATTTTAAATATAATTCTTTAAATATTTTTACCATAATTTTTAAAAGTATGTGATAATATAGTTATTACTTTAAAATATATTGTAACTTTTACTTTCAAAACTTTAGACACGTCTTCTTTTATTCATTCTCTAATAATGCAACATTATTCCATGTTGTTAGTTTTACTTTATTTTTTTACAAATGATTTAATGTAAATTAAAATATTTTTTTATCATTAATTGTATTTTTAATATTAAAATCTTTTTTTACCTTATGTCTTATATTTAAAGTGTTATAACATTAACTTTGCCCTGAGTAAATATTATTTCTTTAATTGGACTTTATACATGATTTCTCTGATTACATATGTTTATAAAATAAATATATTTAAAAAAAATAATTAATAAATTAAACAAAAATTATATAATAATTTTTAATAAATGTTTTAGAACAAAATATTAGTTAAGATATTATTTCTACAATAATTTTTCAAAATTTATAAATTTAAAAATTTAAAAATACAAGAAATGCAAGAAGAAAACTAAATACAAAAAAATAAAAATAAAAATTTACGATCTTTAAATTTTTTTAAATATATAATGATATAATAATATTATTTTATTATTATAAATTGACATAACATTGCATGAAAGGTGGTAGAACAACCGTGCACACATTTGCAAAAAATTAAATGCAACTTTTGGCAACTTTTTTTTTTTTAATTTATATTTAAACAAAAAACGATGCATGCTTTATAGTCGAAGGTAGGCCTCCAAATTATCTTTTAATTAATTTATTTATTTTTATTTTACCTAATTTTTTATGATAAATTTATCTATTTTTAGCTTATTTTAGTAGAAATATTTTATTTCTTGTTTTTTTTTTCATACATCTTCAAATTTAGTTCTTTAAAATTTTTTTTAAAAAAATATGTTTACTATACGGAATTGGAGTTAGAATTAAATTGAACTCTAGAATTTTAATTATATACGAGCAAAAATTTTCAGACAAAGCTGTTATATTTTTTTTCAGACAATGCACAATGGGTTAACTATAAGTAAATATCACGACCTCTTAAAATTATAGAATATATATGTAATTTCATCCATGACTAATAATATTATTTTATTTCTTAGTAGTTTTTATTTGAAAAAATAATTTTAAATTTGTCACCGACTTAATATATTCAATCTATTAAAATGTTAATTAATTAAAAAAATTACTCCTCATACTCTAATTTGCAATAATCAAATGATTATTGCATGCATGTTTGGAATCGTTTATTTTTTAAATTTATTTATTTATTTTATAAATAAATCATGAAATAAATAATTATCTTTAAAATAAAAAGTCTAAAATTGATAAGCATAAATGATTTTTTTTTCAAAAGAAAAATAGTACTAGCCATGCCATTTATACGTTAAAGGTCATCATGTGGGACTTGTCTATATTAGTAGTTAGTTTTCTTCATTCTCTTCTGCGCTAAAAAATATCTATTTAATCTTCATAAAATATAGCCTTGTGTTTCTCTTTTCAATTTTAATTTAATTATTCTGTATATGAATTGTCACACTTATTTATAGGATACACAAACAAATAATATTATGACTATTTAAAAAGATACGTAAACCTTTTCAAATATTTGGACAATTCTTTGATTCTTTCACCTTCAAATTAATTTATATACCTGAAAATGCACAAAAATATCGATAAAGAGAGTGCTAATTTACTATGAAGAAAATCAGGTATGTATAATTTAATAATTTTATTATTTAATTTTTAATGTATGAATTTAGTTATATTTAATTAATGAGTATTGTTTATTTTATTTATGTTAATTATTGTAAAGTTTAAATATTAAATAAAGTTTATTTTTACAAAATGCAGATGAGTGAGATTGTTATTATTATATATTAGAATGGTAGAATCTATGAAGGAAATGAAGGAGTAAGTTTTGAAGGAAGTAAAAAAGTAATTCAGATAAAACGATGAATAAGTTATGAAACATTGAAAAGAAAAATTCATGTGAAACTTAATCTTAATCATAATCAAGTGATTTCTAAATTAATTTCTCGTTTTTTGATTGATGAAAATATTGGACAGTATACAGCTTTGGATATATGTGATGATGAATATATTGATTACATGATAAGTGCATTTCAACAACAATCTAGTAGAAATATTATTGAGTTATACAAAGATATTATTGTTGGTGGAAGTTCATCAATGTCCTTACAGACGATAAATTTAAATTTATCACTTTCACAACAAAATGATAGGACCCTTGTGAGTCGTGATTATAATGAAGGTAAAATTATTTTTGTTCTAATATCTTTTAAGTAATATATGTAATTGATTGAATTAAAACTGATAAATTTGTTGCAATAAAGGAGTTAGGAATGATGCTGATGAAGATAATGAACACTCAGATTATGAGAGTTACACTGATAGAGATGATGAAGCAGAAATTTCGTTAGGCAGTTCTTCTTCTACTAATGTTGAAGGTGAGTTTAATTCCAACTTACATATACAAATAACCGAAAATGTAAGAGGTAATGTGAAATAATTATAAAGAATTTGTTTTTTGTGGTTATTTATTTATATATTAATGATAAATATAATGCAGGAGATACTGTAATTTCTTTTTGAAATGTTACTCCAAAGTATAAGTATATTAATTGGGAATATCCTGATTAAGAAATGAATGAAGAACATTTTCAAGAAGTCAATTCATGGGTTGAAGGAGATCCTTTATTTGTTGGCTTATTTTTTGACAATAAAGAAGATGTGAAGAATGCATTAAAACATTACGCAATGAAGATTCATCAAAGTTATTTTGTGGCTAAGTCTAAACCAACATGTTTGTACGTTAAATGCTTAAACCATACCTCTGGTTGTCCATGGAGAGTGAGGGCTTCATTGTTGAAGAATTCAAACAAGTGAAAAATTACTAGGTGGGGTGGTTCACATACATGTGTCAATATGAGAATTTCTCAAGATCATCAAAAGTTAGATTCTGATTTAATTTGTTCATGCATTCTTGGTAAGTAAAATATCAAGTTTTTTATTTTATTTTTACAATGACATTGTTATTAACTTGAGAAAATTTATTTTATGTAGGAATGGTGAACGAGGAACCGTCAGTACATATTTCATTGATACAAGAGCGAATATGTGCTCAGTTTGGATATAAAATTTCATATAAAAAAGCTTGGAAGGCGAAGCAAAAAGCCATTGTTAAAGTATTTGGTGATTGGGATGAATCATATGCTACCTTGCCTCGTTGGTTAGAATACATGCAATTACATTCTCCTGAATCTGTTTATAAAATTGAAACAAAAGAGTATGTGGTTGGTCATCAAGTGAATAACAAGTGTAGAGTTTTTGAACGACTATTCTGGTCATTCGAACAATGTCATGAGGCTTTTAAATTCTGCAAACCTATATTACAAGTGGATGGGACGTTTTTATATGGTAAGTATCGTCATACGTTGCTCATTGCAACAACTCAAGATGGAAACAATTGTGTTCTTCCAGTAACTTTTACAATTGTTGAAGGAAAAACATTGTCAGCATGGGAATGGTTTTTGGCATTGATTCGTTTGCATGTTATCGATAGAGCGGGAATTTGTCTGATATCAGATAGACATCAAAGTATAAAAGGGGCTGTGTCAAATCCACACATTGGGTGGCAACCTCCAAATGCGTATCATGTATATTGCATTCGTCATATTGCCAGCAACTTTAATCACCGGTTTAAGAATATAACATTGAAGAAAGAGCTCATCAAATTGGGTATATTTTATTTTTTTATCTAGATTATTGTTAAATTATTAGATATCCATCGAATCTGTGGATACATCTTTTAATGTTTTGAATGTTGTATATGTAGGTTATACACCATCGAAGGTCATTTTTCAGCAAAAGTTAACTAGATTTTGCAATGAATCTAAAGATATACAAAGGTGAATTGACAGTATATCAAAAGAGAAATGGACATTATCTTATGATGAAGAAGGACGGCGTTATAAACACATGACTACAAATCTTTTAGAATCAGTAAATAAAGTGTTAAAAGGTGCTAGAAACCTGCCCATATGTGCACTAGTTAAAGCCATCTATGGACGATTGGTTGAATATTTTGTGAAGCGTGGAGAAGAGGCCATCTCTGACCTTCACAATGGAAGCATGTTTTGTGGTAAAGTTATGTTGCAAATTCAAAAAAATCAACAAGAAGCTTCATCACACCAAGTTCATCGGTATGACATAGAAAGAAAAAGTTTTGAGGTTGAAGAAGCTTTTAATCCAATAACACAAAGGGGTGGACACAAATGGACAGTTATATTGGATATGAGATTCTGCGAATGTGGAAGATTTCAGTCTTACCGATTTCTTTGTTCATATGTGATAGCCGCTTGTATAGCCGTGAGTATCAATTTTTGGCAATATGTGGATCCTGTTTATTCAATGCAATATGTTGTAAATGCATACTCCCCACAGTGGAACCTCCTGGGAAATGAATGCAACATCCTTACAAACTGCGAATGGAAGTTAATGCCTGATGTTGAAAGAGCAAGAGGTAAAGGCCGACCAAAATCAACTCGCATTAGGAATGAAATGGACTGGGTTGAGTCACAAACTAGACAAAGGTGTTCCAAGTGTAACGAAGTAGGTCATAATCGACGTCATTGTCCTCAACAAAACAATGTTGGTTAACCAAATCATACAATGTTGGTGTTTGTATTTTTTTTTATCTTGTGATATTGTTATTTATCCTTATTGTCATTAATTATTGTAATGAAACCATTAATGCTATATCAAGTAAAGGCACAAACAAATTAATAACTAGAGTAAGAATTAAAGTCACGAACAGTAATATATGCTAACTAAAATAAGTTGCTACATAAAAACATTTCATTGTTGCCCCCCTGTGTGCCTGATGATGATGATCCTCTAGCGTCAAGATGCATTGCCTCTGTCTATCTCGAGCTCCTCGATGAGGGTTCCGACGAACATATCCTAAATCAGCAACTGCACCAAACTCGACATTAAGATCAATACCTGACTCTATAGGATGTATGTCTGATGGTATAGGGTCAACTTGACTGTATGGAGCACCTAGAGTCAAAAGCGAATGGTGCTCCTGAAGAGGTGTGAAAAAGAAATCAGATCGTGGGATGTAATCTTCTATTCCTGTAAAAGGTGATGATGGGTGTTGTGATGGATGGTGTGTACCCTGTGATGAATAGAAATAAGTCGAGGCTGTCATCAAACTAGATGGTTGAAAAGGAAACTGTGATGGTATTGGGAAGACACCATCAGGTCGCTCTGCCATAACCGGGACAGCCCACTCTGCTGCCTACACTTGTCTCCGTTGACGTGCCAAGCCTCTTCCTTCTCTTCGTTGATGCGGCTGATCTATGTGTAAGTTTGGATCGACGGGATTACCACTTTGTACTGGAGGATCTGAGGATGAAACAAGCTCTAATATGCGATCTTGTTCATTCTTTAGTGACAGAAGAGTCTCAGACAAGTCCTTTAATTCATTAAAGGTAAAAGAATCCTGTCCATCAGTGCTCAAGTAATGCAATCTCTCCATCACATCACCCTAAAAATAGTAAAAAGTAACAATTACTGTAATTTTGTATATAAAACAGAAAGTAATAGTGAAAAAAGTATATATTTCTGTAAACATACCGACAAAGCTGATACTGCTGCCTCCCTGGTCATCCAACGACGAGTATGACTAACATACCATCGCATGTACTCAGAATTTGAGCTAAGTAAACCATACTGAGGCTCATTAGTCAATACCCAAAGTCGTCTACTCTCCCAAATTTCTAACATAGCACTGAACATGGCTGACCAATCTTCTCCAGTCTTTCCTCTAAGGGTAAGGTCATGTAGCTGGTCAGGCTGGTAAGGAGTCCTTGGTATGTGTTGAACCATACCAAACTGACGCATTACTCTATCAGGTTGATACCACTCACATAACTGAAAATATATAAGTGGCACCACTACCCTCCATAAGTCCATACCGTCTCTACAAATAGGTGGTAATATATTGATGAGTTCCATATTGTATGGCACCTACACAATCTGTATGATGACATAAAAATAAGATTAATAACAAAATAATAAATTAATTAGTGTAATATACCCTATTTATAACATGTTATTTAAATAAGTAACTCAACAAAAGTTGGCTATAATACCTCATTACGTGCTAGATGATCAAAAATATATCTGTAGTATTGGACATCTTTCTTTCCCTTTTTGATACCGTAGGATAACCATCTGCAAGTAATTTTGACCATAAAAACATGAAGCCAAACAAATAACATTATAGGACACCTACAAATGCGTAGAAAAATAATAACGATACCAACTTACCTAATACCGTACGGAAGATAGGGACGAGTATAGGGAGGATTGGTAGGTGCTATCTGGGGAAATCTATCCCAAGCCCAGATCACAATTAACGCAGCAAGTCCTCCAATAGCAAAACGATCAATGTTGGTGGCCATGCATAGCTCTCAGTACAAATAACCTAGAACTGCAGAACCTCAACTATATTGACTGGTCAACTCAAAATCTTCAAGCAAAGGCAAGTACTTCACAGATACCCTACTGCTAGAGTGATCAGGAAGCATGAACCCTCCAATAAGCCTTAATATATATGCCCTAGCAAACCGAGTAATCTGCAGTGGAGTCTGATTATGCATGGCAATATGAGTGAAGTGCTCGTCCAACCAGCTCATCTTCAAGAAACTCCCTACAAAAGCCTCTAATCCTGGTCTCATACCTAGGCTATCTTCCACAATCTGTGCCCAATCACCCCCAATGGGTGCTATAACAGGTCTCCCATCTATGCGTAATCCTAAGATAATAGCAACATCCTGAAAGGTACTAGTACACTCTCCAGGGGGCATGTGGAAGGTGTGCGTCTCGGGCCTCCACCTCTCTACTAATGCAGTAATCAATACCACGTCTACAGGAAGCTGAGACAAGTTAGCCACTCCAACAAAACCCGCTAACTCCGGATGTGGAATAATTTCATCCGGAACACCTTCTAATCCACCGGGAATATTTGGACTCTTCCTAACCCTCAATGTCGGGTGATCACGTCCATCCCAAATATGCTCAGAAACATGAATACTTTGAAATCGAAGAAGTGATGGATCTTCTGACCTGGGATTAATAATCCTACTTTGTTGTGAAGATGATGTCATCTATACAACAATAAAAAATATTAGTAAAAAAATTTCATTCAATAATAATAATAATAATTTATATTTTACTAACATATTAATAATACATATTTTATAAAGGTTAAACAAATTTACTAACAAATCATTATCACATTGTAATGACATCATATTATATTCATTCCAATATATTATAAATGCAAAAATCAGGTATATAAACAAAATTAAATAAATAAATTCTTTTTAAATATACTAACCTATATTCTATACATATTATAATTTATGCAGTATCAGTTTTATTTTAAATAAATAAATTATTTTTACATTTTCATACATATAACTAAAGATATATAAATTTTTAATTATTCTAAATTTTCATATTAAATTGTATTTAATACAATTTAATATAATTTATATAAATAATGTTTCGTTATTTAAATACAAAATTTTAATTACTAGCATAAAATTAAGTTACATTTTAATTTTTTCATATTTCTAATTTAAATCTACATAAATTACATTTAATTTATAATTATATAAATAATATTACATTTTTTAAAGTAAAAAATATTATTTTTTACATACAAATTTTATATAAATACAAAACTCTAATTATTAGCATAAAATTAAATTACATTTTATTTTTTTTTCATATTTTCAATTTAAATCTACATAAATTACATTTAGTTTATAATTATATAAATAATATTACATTTTTTAAAGTAAAAAATATTATTATTTACATACAAATTTTATTTAAATACAAAACTCTACTTACTGCATAAAATTAAATTACATTTTTATTTTTTCATATTTCTAATTTAAATCTACATAAATTTTATATAAATACAAAACTCTAATTACTAGCATAAAATTAAATTACATTTTTATTTTTTTATTTTTTCAATTTAAATCTACATAAATTACTTTTAGTTTATAATTATATAAATAATATTACGTTGTTAAAAGTAAAATTTTTTATTATTTACATACAAATTCTATACATATATTTCATATAAATTATGATTATTGCATTTAAAATTTTACAATTTTAAAATTTTACTTATTTTATAATATAGGTGTAAAAATTATTTATTACAATCAAACTAAGTATAAATTATTATATTTAGTTTTATATAATTATTTTATTTAACTCAATTTTTATTATTCTGTATTTTAATAAATATCTATAACAATTCCTGCAAACAAATTTTATAAATCTTAATTTAACCTATCTTATTAACAATTAATTATAATTTTATATTTTAATTAACTATATCACATTTCATTTTTTCTAAAAACATATTAATCTATATACAAATAAATAAAAAATATTTAAATTTTAAATTCTTTTTTACTAACATTTAATAAACTTTCAGCAAATTCTTCACTCACCCCCACTTAATTACCAAATCACCTGCATACAGTTTAAAAAAATTACAATATTATTATCAGATTTTCCAATTAACAAAATCAAACTAAAAATAATATATAAATGCATATTATAGGTCCATACCTCTTAAATTCGTAACAGTATTTGACCCTTCACAATGCAAATCAAAACAAATTTTGAAACTTCTGCCTGCACGACGATGGAGAAGCAGAGATGGAGAAAAGAAAAATGGAAACAAAGGAGGAGGATGGAGGAGGAAAAAGGACGTCGGTCAAGGTTACTGAAGAATTGGCCACGTGTCAATGTCTGAACGGTTTCGCCAACTGCAGGGTGAAATAAACTTTCGCCAGTAGCAGCGCGAATCATCTCAGATGTTGCCACGTGTATCAAAATCTCCCCAGCCGTCCATTTTAAATTCATTTTTATTAATTATTTTTAATTTTATTTACTTTTGCTATTCAAATGGCGAAATAGTAGTCGTTGGAGCAATGTGTCAACATGTAATAAATTGCGCTCTAGCTATGGCAAAACTTAGTAAATATTTCGCCATTTGTGAAACTAATATGTGTTTGACACGTGCTATTATCTTATTTATTTTGTATTTTTTGTGACGAAATAAATATTAAAAAATTCAAAAATTAATTACTTTCGCTAGCCATTATGGCGAAACCTGCAAAAAAAATCTGAATTTAAGAAATTGTTTCAGATTTGCTACAAAATGATAAATTATTTTTTAATTTACAATATTAAAATAAATTTGCCAATACTACAACATAATAGTTTTTCAAATAGAATTTTTTACTTTAGTAGGTGATTATCACAACAAAATCACGTATCATATATCACCCATAAAAGATTATTTTGTATTACTATCAGTTTTGACAAATTTTAAATATAATTCTTTAAATATTTTTACCATAATTTTTAAAAATATGTAATAATATAGTTATTGTTTTAAAATATATTGTAACTTTGACTTTCAAAACTTTAGACACGTCTTCTTTTATTCATTCTCCAACAATGCAACATTATTCCATGTTGTTGGTTTTACTTTATTTTTTTACGAATGATTTAATATAAATTAAAATATTTTTAATCATTAATTGTATTTTTAATATTAAAATCATTTTTTTACCTTATGTCTTATATTTCAAGTGTTATAACATTAATTTTACCTTGAATAAACATTGTTTCTTCAATTGGACTTTATATATGATTACTCTAATTACATATGTTTATAAAATAAATATATTTAAAAAATTAATTAATAAATTAAACAAAAATTATATAATAATTTTTAATAAAGTTTTAGAACAAAATATTTGTTAAGATATTATTTCTACAATAACTTTTCAAAATTTATAAATTTTTAAATTTAAAAATACAAGAAATGTAAGAAGAAAACCAAATACAAAAAAAAATTACAATCTTTAAGTTTTTCTTTAAATATATAATGATATAATAATATTATTTTATTATTATAAATTGACATAACATTGCATGAAAGGTGGTAGAACAACCGTGCACACATTTGCAAAAAATTAAATGCAACTTTTGGCAATATTATTTTTATTTTGCCCAATTTTTTATGATAAATTTATCTACTTTTAACTTATTTTAGTGGAGATATTTTATTTCTTGTTTTTGTTCATACATCTTCAAGTTTAGTTCTTTAAATTTCTTTTTAAAAAATATGTTTAGCTTACGGAATTGGGGCTTGGAATTAAATTGAACTCTGAAATTTTAATTATATACAAGCAAAATTTTTCAGACAAAGCTATTATATTTTACTCAGACAATGCACAATGGGTTAACTATAAGTAAACATCACGATCCCTTAAAATTATAGAATATATATATAATTTCATCCTTAAATATGATGACTAATAATATTATTTTAGTTCTCAGTAGTTTTTATTTAAAAATAATAATTTTAAATTTGTCACTGATTTAATAAATTCAATCTATTAAAATGTCAATTAACTAAAAAAATTACTCCTCATACTCTAATTTATTACAAAAAATCTAACCGTGAGATCTAACTTGCAATAATTAAATGATTATTACATGCATGTTTTGGAATCGTTTATTTTTTAAAATTTATTTATTTATTTTATAAACAAATCATGAAATAAATTATTATCTTTAAAATAAAAAGTCTAAAATTGATAAGCATAAATAATTTTTTTAAAAAGAAAAATAGTACTAGCCATGCCATTTATACGTTAAAGGTTATCATGTGGGACTTGTCCATATTAGTTGTTAGTTTTCTTCATTCTCCTCTGTGCTCAAAAAAATAGTTTTTCTTTCGTAATTTTCAAATAATAGCCTTTAGGATTTATTTTGAAAAAAGAAATAATTAAACGTAATTATACAGAACACACAACTACATGCTTCTAATTTTTTATGATTTGATTTAATGGAGTAGAATGGCTTACTTCATAAATCGTTAAAAAACTTTATTAGGATACATGTGAAGTTAAAATAATAAAGCTTTATTAGAAAACGAAATGTTTATTATATTTCTTTTTTTTTTTAAGCTTTATTAGGATACATGTCAAGGTTCAAAGAGCACTTACTTATAGATTTTCTTACAAGTAAAATTCGCACATTATCAGCTAAAACTTACATTTTTGTTACTAATTAGACCAACCTCAGGTGACATTTTTATATTTTTAATATAGTATATATATATATATATATTTTAATACTACTTTTAAAGTCTTAGCTTTATGAGACATATAAGCACTAATTTTAATGAACAAATTATCACAAGATGATACATTGTGCATTTATTTCACTAACAGTTTTGTTTTTCAACATGACAGTAATTAATAACTCATTTGACTTTCTCTTCTACAATTCACAGTAAGCATGGAACGGATGCTAAGTGAAGTACCTTCATACATTACGTCCACGTCCCCACAAAGGAGAGAGAGTGCGTATGTGTGTGTGTGGAAAAATTCATTGAAGAAGGAAATAGTAAAAATATAGTAAATGAAAAGGCCTGCACAAATGTTGGGTGCTTCAGTATGTATAATTACTGCAGGGTAGAGAACAGATGAATGCATTGATTGCATTTCAACCACCGCCATACACCATCTTCTATTAAACCATCTTCCCTCTCATTTCAAAATCACGTCAACTTTATTTTTATTTTTTTCATACAAATAAAGCAACAAGCTCTTTGCTAGCTCCCTATTCTTGTCACACTTTGATGGCTAAGTTTGGATTATATTTGTCTCCATTCTTGCTGCTTTTCATTTTGCTGAATGGTGGTGCAGTCACAGGCCAAGAAATGGTGCCTGCCATGTTCATATTTGGTGACTCTCTTATTGACAATGGCAACAACAACAATCTTCCTTCCTTTGCTAAGGCTAACTATTACCCTTATGGCATAGACTTCAATGGAGGCCCCACTGGTCGCTTCTCAAATGGCTACACTGTGGTTGATGAAATTGGTAGCTATCCCTCTTGCCCTTATCATTTTTTTTTTCGTTTTCCTTGTAATTGTTAAGATGTCTCATTTCGGCTAAGAATATGGCCAGAATACACCTTATAAAGCTCAAACAATCCTTCTTGCATGAACTTGCTTTTAAGAGTGGTTTAGGTAATTAGGTTCAGTTTTTTAATGGTAATCACATTATAATATTAAACTATTTCGGTAGGATATGGGGTTTGTGTGCGAGTCAAAATGGATGAGCAAATAGAACATGCATTTGGGTGCCATCTTTTAATAAGGCTACCCACTATTCAGAAATCATTACACTATTTCTCTTGGAATAAATTGTTATTGCAAGGTTAGCTTGATAAGCAGAAAGCAATATTTTGAGTGTTAAAAAGAACACCTTAAATAGAGTAACATTCCTCTAGAATGTGGTTTGGCTAGTCAGTCACAAAATTCAGATTCCTCGCTTAAGGACTTACTGTCTTGACAAATTTCGAAATATAAAGTAAAAGTAGTTGAAATTTAATCGATCATTTTTTTTAACATATATAGCTTTTTGGCTCAAAAGTGTCTTTTGAGGGCATGCTGTCATTTTAGTCACCTTTTCCATGTATTTCTTCCATAGGAAGTCTACATCAATAAGGTGTTCAACTGCTACACCTAACAGCCTAACTCTTAGCTACAGGCTATTATCTGAAGTAATTACATACTGTAATTTTCTCTTTTCTGCTTCAAATGGCTATTTCTTGCAGTAGATGGTGCATTAAAGAGAATATCGATATCTTCCTCCATTTTACCTATGCATCCCTTAGACCAGAAAATACTTGTGTAGACTAAGTCGGTTTTTGTAACCTGTGTTGCACTTAATGATAATACACACACACACACACATATATATATATATTAAGTTTCTATTAAAAAGTTATATAATTCAATAAATGTTTTAAGTATTACAATTTCTAATAAAAAATTTCATTTATTAATTTCTGTAATGTTGCAGAGGTTAAATAATAATAATAATCTCTGTGTCACATGATAACTTATTTAATTGTTAGTTTTAGTCAGCCTTATTTATTTAGACAGAATCTAAGCAAGTATTTCTCGCTAGACCGTAGTGACCAAATAGAAATATGCAAATACGTAAAAGATAATATAGATCCTAGGAAATTACCTTCCGTAAGCAATCAGGCACTGCATTTTAGTAGTTAATAAAATGTATAAAAGTCAAATGGTTTCTAAAATTAAAAATAATGCCATGAAGGCCATTCATGTTTAGCATAAAGTTCCATAGTGGGCATTTTTTCAGTGTGGGGTCTTCATACCTGCATGATTTACCTTAGCATTATTGCTTTGAGGATTTCTGTTTTGTCCCTAACAAGTGTTAACTAGTTAATTTCCCCTGCTTCGAATAGTATATCATTTTACTCTAAACTGAAACTGATGTGTGCATATTAATGCAGCTGAACTGCTTGGACTTCCTTTAATTCCAGCATACACAGAAGCCTCTGGGAATCAAATGCTTCATGGAGTAAACTATGCTTCAGCTGCAGCTGGAATCCTTGATGCCACTGGCAGAAACTTTGTGTGTAACATTCATTTTGTCATTATAGATGCTGACTTGTACATTACTTTTAATTAAGCAATATCAATTATAAATTGTCTTTGTGTGTTCAGTTTATTATTTACAAGGGGCATTGACTTCAATTTCCATGTTCCAAACCACTGATTACTATACCTTACAAAAAGGAAGATTGTATACTGATTGATTATTTTGTGAACAGGTTGGCCGCATACCATTTGATCAGCAACTTAGGAACTTCGAGAACACACTGAATCAAATTACTGGAAATCTTGGAGCAGACTATATGGCCACAGCGCTTGCACGGTGCATATTCTTTGTTGGAATGGGAAGCAATGATTACTTAAACAACTACCTTATGCCTAATTACCCCACCAGAAATCAGTACAATGGACAACAGTATGCTGATCTCTTGGTTCAAACGTATAACCAGCAACTCACTGTAAGATTTCCTGGTTTCTCTTACCTCATTCTGAAATGCAACCAATCAGGTCCTTCATAAGATGTGTAATGAATATGTGTATTATCTATCATGCAAAGTGCCTTCTTTAGGAAGCCTATGAGTTTGTGGTTTTACTAAGATGCTGATTTTAAGCAACTAAAAATAAAAGGTTTTCATTGAAAAGAAAACTATTTAATAAATTTTTCATTTTAATAATTTGTTTCACTCTTAGATGCTTAAAATCATCCCTTAAGAGCTTATGTTAATAAAACCCATAATGTTTTTATCCATCGATTAGGTAGGGGCTGATCAAATATGAGCAATATTTATAAAATTTTTATTTGGACAAATTACATTCACACCCCTTGAAGTTTAACAAAATTTCACCTGATACACCTTTAATTTTTTTGCATTACTTTGACCTTTCCTTATTTCATATAATTGCATAAGCAATCAAGGTGTTTAACCAAGCAAGGTATACAACATTATGTTTTTGTAGGGTAAAAAATATAAAGGATATTGGGTGAAGCTGTTTTTAACCTTAAGAGGTGTTAGTGTAATTTACCCTTTTAATCAAGCTATGAGATGCTGCACTTATGTACCAATTCTAAGTTATGATAATGGGCTATAGCAAGATCTAAAAGTCTAGGACCCTAAACCTAAATTTTTGTTGAAGTTAATTTTTATGGAAAAGTGAATGATTCATGATGTGTTGTAGAGGCTTTACAATCTTGGAGCAAGGAAATTTGTGATTGCTGGACTGGGACTAATGGGATGTATTCCAAGCATATTGGCTCAAAGCATGAGTGGAAGCTGTTCCGAAGAAGTGAACTTGCTAGTGCAACCCTTCAATGAAAATGTGAAGACCATGTTAGGCAATTTCAATACTAATCTACCTGGTGCCAGATTCATATTTGCAGATTCTTCCCGCATGTTCCAGGACATTCTTCTCAATGCTAGATCTTATGGTATGAATCAAAAGATACAATTACGTTGCCAGCTCAAAATAACACATAAAACATAGTGTCACATTCTTTTGCTCTTTTAAGGTTTTGCTCCGTGCAATGCACATTTTTAACATGTCTTTGGTGGTGGGACTGATAGTTTAATCTTTCCTTTTTTGTAGGCTTTACAGTTTTAAATAGAGGGTGTTGTGGCATTGGAAGAAACAGAGGCCAAATTACATGTCTTCCATTCCAAACGCCATGTCCTAACAGAAACCAGTATGTATTTTGGGATGCATTCCACCCAACAGCAGCAGTGAACATTATTATGGGAAGGATGGCTTTTAATGGAAACACAAATTTTGTTTATCCTATAAACATTAGGCAACTTGCTGAACTATAACTAAGTCGGAATCTTTCTGTGTCAGTGTCACTTTTAGCTTAATAATTAGTTTACGTTTAGTAATTGAAAGTATGTGGAGCAACATATTTATTATAGGGAATCCATTAGTAGTCAGAGTGTGGTTGTGGTGAACTGCTAGCTATATTTACAATTACAATTGTCACATGAATTTAGTGGTGACATTTTCTTTTTCTTTTTCTTATAATATAATTGGATGAAGCACTTTCCTTTAGACATTTTTACCAGAATTATTTTTGATGATACCACGAACAGAATTGAAATTGTCAACCAAGTGAAATGTATAGGCTTTCATCAATATATTTGATAATTCAAACTCGTAGTAAACATGCTTTAAAATAAACATGAGTGCCATCCTGACTATATATTTTGATTTAATCTATACAAAGTTTTTTCTGGCTAAACGTTAATCTAATTGAACATAACAGCTACTATTTTCTACTGAAGCATAATAAATTTGTTAAAAATTAGTTGCACAAATTAAATACTTAAAAAGGAAGAAAGGGATTTGGATAAAATAAAAATGAAAACTGCAAGTTTATTTATATCTGGTTGGGCTTAGCTTAGACTGAAGCATATTTATTGTATTATATATTTCTGCACAAAGGCATTATACGTGTACAAAGGCATCAAATGTTTTAAGCAACAAGAGCACATTCTTACTACATAAAATCATGAATACCATGATCAATTAGCAAATGGCACTGCATGGATAGTTAAATACCTCACAAATATTAAACATAAACTCAACTTCTTTTACTGCATCGCCAATTGTTGAATATTAATGGGATAAGTATATGATTGTGAACTGTATGTTGCCTTGGCTAGTAAAATGTTGGCCATCTCAGTGGGATGGAAAGCATCCCAGAACAAGTACTTCCCACGCTCTTCACATGGTTGTTGCAAAGGAAGGCAAGTAATCTGCCCGTTGTTCCTGCCAACTCCACAGCACCCCTTATCTATCACATCAAACCCTGTGTGAAATATACATGGAGAGTCCAAAATCAGCTTTTGAGAACATGTTCTTTATCATGATTAGAAAAAAAATTCTATGCAAAAGACAGAATTACCAAATGAAGTTCCATTTGAAGACAAATCTTGACTGCTTTGATAAAAATTCAAAAGTACAAACTTTGCTCCTGGAAGCTGTCCTCCATTGAAGTTTTGAACCATTCTCTTAAGGCCTGAGTTAAACAACAAGATGGCGTTGTTGATTTTTTCATTGCATCTGCTGTTGTTACCATGAAAACGGGCTAGTTGATATGGTATGCAGCCAATTTGTCCAACTGCTGTAACAATCACTTTTCTTGCTCCTAGTGAATATAGTTGCTGGATAATTTCACGTGAAAAAATCAGTAATAATCTATAATGCAAAATAAATTTAGTCTTCAATATATAGGATTAAGAGCTTGTTTGGAAAGCTTATAAATATTACGCGTGTAAATTAGCTTATGACTCATAAGTTGTTTTCAGCTTATTTCAACAAGTTTCTTGATATAACTTGTCAAAATAAGTTGTTTTCAGCTTCTCCTAATAAGTTTCATCATTAAATTTATGGAAGGCATCATTTGAAAACAACTTATTCAATACACATTTAAATTTGTTGTATATTCAAACACACCATACAAATACAAAGGAAATAGCCAAAGAAGATCAATTAGACTCAGTATAATACTATAATAGGAACCACATAGCACATTAGCACCAAAAGTTAATGCAAGTTATCATGGATTCAGTCATTATACACACGCAGGCATCTTAACTTAAAGAAATTTTAAATATGCAGGTCTTCAAAAGGTCATCATCACATTGAAATGGTTGGTTTTGGATTATATTAGATCCTCAAATTACATTGCTCAATCAATCAGCCACCCCATTACCTTGCCACTACATCATGTTCATGGGAATAAAATAATATGCCAATGCATGCTATATGTAGAGTCATCTAGAATTAGATGTCAACAACTTACAGCTAGCTGGCGAGCGTAATCTTGAAGAAGGATGGATGCAAAAGCCCTAGCAGTATAATCTGAGCTAGTTGAATAAAAATCTGGCATAAAATAGTTATTCAAGTAATCATTGCTTCCCATCCCTGAAAACAATAAGCATTTGCTTACGTAGCTATTAAGTGTATCATTATCTCCTCTGAAGATACTTCTCAACTGCTGCACTGTGTTTCCAAAGTTAGCCACTTGCTCATTCATAGATGTATGAGCCCCCTGCATCAAGTTACATAACAAAATCAGAGAAATTATTGTGCTTAATCAAGATTTGTTAAAAACTCAAAAACACTTAAATATATGCAATTGTATACCAGGTTACTGCCTGTTTCATCTCTGATTCCTGCTGCTCCAGATGCATAATTAGCCCCTCTTAAGAGTACTAAACCCCTTGCTCTTGAATAAGGAGGAATATAAGTTGGGAATCCCAGAAGCTGAGCTGTAAAGATTGTAGTTGTAAATAATAGCAGTTGCTACGTAGATATAGGATCATACTTTTAAGAAAAAATCAGCATGATATTGTTATTTTATTGTTGTTAACTACAAAATAAATCCAAAGCTGGGGGCAAGCATATCAGAGAGAAGTACGGAATATTTTTCTTTGTACTACTTCTTTTAAAATTCCCAAAAGTGTAGACACAGTTAGGTTGTGTTTGGATGAAGAATTCTTAAATTCTAGAAAGTATGAGGGATGCTTAGAGTGCAAGTTAAGTTTGAAAGAAGTAATAATAGAGAGATTTTTAAATTCTCTCGAAAAACAAGTCATTTGAAATTGACATAAAATTATCTAGTTAAAATTCTGTTGTATTTTAAAATCACTCTTTCTTACTATCTAAATACATGAATTGTAGTAATTTTGAAATGTTCTTTCCAAACACAACCTTATGCTATGTAACATCAAGAGTGGAAATATTATATATCTTGAATTGATATTCACATAACACTAAATTCTCACATGCTATTATAAGCATTTTTCTTGTTTAAATACTGGGCAAAGACTAAAAATATTCACCACAGTTTCAGCATGCAATGAACATATAGAAGTGTACCTAATGCATCAACGTAAGTTCGGCCATTGGTGAAGCGGCCAGTGGCACCCTGTGGGAAGTCAATGCCATAAGGCCTGTAATTGGCTCTGGCAAGTGTTAGCATTCCATTGTTGTTTCCATTATCAACCAATGAGTCACCAAATATGAAGAAGCATGGCACTTGTTGACCCTGAGGTGGCCGTGGCTGCACCTGAGAGAAGCATCTTGCAATTAGGCTCAGCCAGATGATGCATGAGAATGTCCAAACTGTCTCTCTCAAATGCTTCATCTTAATGGACTAATTTTCTGCCACAAATGGGCATGCATTCTTATATGGTCATGCTTAGTGATAGTTATGGATCACATTTATGACATTCATGTGATGAGTGTAAGCCAATTTGATAATTTGTTGGGCTAAGGAGATAATGAGAGAAGAAGCTTTTTGGTAGAGTATTTATGGGTTTTATTATTAGTGTGAGACTTGCTTTACAATCGGTGATTGGAAGCTCCATCCCGTGACCAAGAACTGGATCGCCTCCACATACTTGTTGGAACATACTAGACACCTTTCCAGCAATGCATGATTTATAGGTACAAAGTTGTGTAGGTATTTTTTGGACCATCATTCTGTCCTTATGGCTAAAACACGACACATTCATATTTGCAAGTTAATAATGTAGTTGCAAGATGTAACCTGCTTTAGCCTTTTTTCTTGTTTAAGCAAAATTGAAAGATTGCTTCTTCAATTGATAACTACTAAAACACTCGAAAATTTGTGGAAATTTTAAAATAAGGTATTTTTCTTACACCAATTTATGATTTAACTTCAAAATGCAAACTTTTATTCATTCAATCTTTGATACATACTATCGATTACCTTAATCATTTATGATGCATTTCAACTCTGATATTGCTAGCTGAAAACTTTGTTTAATAAAATAGTTTTGTTTGATAAAGTAGTTGAAATATATAGTTACCAACATTTTTTAACACTATTTCAACTAGCATTTTTTCAAACTTTACTTTTCAGCTACTATCTGAATTAATATAATATATATATATATATATATATATATTTTAAAAACTGTTCTTTCTATTATTTTTTAATAATTTCTCCTTTTACCTCTTCAAGTTTTAAAATCTTATTACCTTTACTTCTTTCACATTCAATTTCTAAAACACAACTTTCATCGTAAAATCTTACTAAAATATAATTGTATCATCAAATATTATTTTTTAACAATATAAAATTATCAAAATAATTATATAAATTAATTCACTTTATCTCGTTTTATTTAATAAAAATATTTTTAAATAAGAGTAAAATTAAATATCTATCATTATTTAAAATGTATAATTACTAATTTCAAAGTCTAAACTAAAAATAATTAAAGTCTATTTGTTATTTTATATTTATTCACTATTTCAATAATTAATTTGATCACTTTAAATTCAATCACCTAACTTTTCAACTAAGTTTACAGCTTTAAGCTAATTTATCCGCTAATTAAACACTTTATTTTAAATCTTATAAAATCCGAATATCAATAATGGTATAATCAAATATTTTTTATTTTATATACTTTAAAAGAAAAATGTTAATCCGTAAGAGGGGCTCAGATTACTTTTACAAATTACTCTGCCAACTTTTCTTCCGCTAAATTCATTGGTTTATTTAATATAATTGGTTCTGGTATTTCGATTTCTTTTCACACCAAATAGCACTCTTGATTTGAGATATAACTCATTCAATAAAGCAAAAAACTAAACTTAGAAAATTCACATGATAAAATTTTTCTATCCAAGAATATTCCGTGATAACTTACAAATCAATGTATGATCTAAACTTAAAACTGCAAATATTAAAAAAAATAAAATAAACATTTTTAAAATAAAAATTAGTGTTATTTAACACTCAGTTTATACAAGACCCCATACAAATTCAAATACAAAATACTATATTACAATTTGTAATATAAAGTATCTGTTATAAACATTTAAGCTATGGTTGAAAATTGTATTTAGAAGAAGAAAAAAAAATTATGAAAGTTTAAAAAATTTTCTAAACCTTTCAAAGTTTTTTTAATATTTTCTTTCTCCTGCTCTATCCTACTTTTTTACGAGTAATATTTTAACATTTTTTTGTAATATTAATTTTTCAAATAATAATTTTTAAAAAAATTTATAAAAAATAAAATATTAATTTTAAAATTTTTTTTTTTAAAATATTAATTTTATTATAAATAAAAAATATAATAATATTATTTATATAAACTCTTTCATTATCCTCTCCTCTTAATATTAAACATTCAAAAAATAATCAATAAACAAACGTGAAACAGATTTAAACTCCCAACAAAGCCGTGTTTAAATATCATTACGCTTGAAACTAACTTAAATAATTGAGAGCACTTGAAAAGTTACACATTTAATGAACCTGCATTTTCAAAAGGATAAACATTTTCTTCCACCATAAAAACTTAATTAAATAATTGCATAAAACCAATCCTTTGAATTAATTTTAACAAAATCATACAATTAGTGACCACAATTAACTAAATATTCACTACATTCAAAAGCTTGGGGCTTTAGCCTGGTTACACCAACTTAACTAGACAACCAAATGGCGGATGAGCTTCAAATGTTATTCTGATTAAAAAAAAAAAAATTTGCTCCAATAATCCTCAGTAAAAGTCATTAAAAGTCAACACCAGTTTTTTTAATATGAAACTCAAATTTATAATTGAAAATCACTATATGCATAATAATTCTGCACCTAAGTGTAGTTCCATCGATTAACACTAAATTCAATAGATTCCCTGGCAATATTCATGCAAAAGTTCACTTCAAAACAAACCTCATTCAAGCGCATTGCTAATTTCTCAAGGGAACAGATAGATCCATGTAGACTGGTAAAACTACCGAACAAATTATCCATCTTGACTTTTACTACTAGCATCTATCTAAAAAGAACAGTTACTGTACTACGCCCACAACTCAGTTTACAAGTTACTAATGATACAAACAAAAGATAATACTTGCTAAAAAATCTCTGATGACGATAAAATAATCCACAGAACAATCAGCCTTCATAATCACCCTGAGCAAATTTGTTCTCTGGATAAAACACAGCTACTACTTGATTTCCACCAAATTTCCGTCCATTCAATCCAGCACGGGCTTTTGTAGCACCATCCACATCAACATACTCCAAAAACACCTGCAAGTACAAAAACAGTTTTACACCCACGATTTATAGCATGTACAAAATATGCTACCAAAAGCAAAGCATCTTTAGAAGAATTTACACACAATATGCAAATACTACAGCAGAATAGCGGGATGACCACTATTCCGAAAATTTAAAATACACCAAATGTAGATTATGCTACACATATATATATGCAGAAGATTTTGAATTCCAATCGTTCGAGGAGTTCTCAAAAGTCAAAACAGAACAGAGACGAAAAATAGAACAAAACAAAATGGTCTCGTTGGAAAAAAGCCCCAAAGCATATGGTCTCGCCGGAAAATGTGTATTGTTGGAAATGATGACGACTATAACTTGGCTGGATATAGGAACAAAGTCAGATTTTGGTCGAAAAGTAGCCCCTAACGCAAATGGTTTAGGTCATAAATGAGTAGGTGTCTGCTGATGAAGATAATTGGAACTTGGCCAGAAAAGGACATCAGCTACCGTGAAGCTTGTTGGTCGAAGCACAAGTTGCCAAAGATGGTGAATAGCACTTGGGGTTCAAGAGTATTTAGTTTGTATGATACAACATGCAGAAATTGACAATGTAAAGGGGGAGCAAAATCCCAAAATTTCCCCCCTTTAAAGCCTTCAAATGTAAAGAAAACAAGGGAAAATTTGACATTTCTCTTGTGCATCAAATAGCAGCCTCGATAGCCGCAATTTTGGTCACAATTTGCACCGCTCCAGCCACGACACACTGCACTTCGACTAGCGACCGCTGTGACCACTATTGACTACTATGGCAAGTAAATTTTCCAATAGTAATTTCTGACAAAATCACAGTTCATATCAACAGCTACATCAAATCCAGCATTGACAAAATAAAATATAATAAAATATACAAACTATGTTCTTATTAACTAAAGGCACTAGAAAAACAAAAAAAAAAGGTTAAGACTTGGAGAATAAAGGGGAGAGGATTTAGTTTCCAGAATAATAGATTACAAGAACATACCTTTCCAACTCCAGGGGAAGGTTCACCATCTGGTTGTGGGCGAGGAATCACCACATTCACCAAAGTACCTGCATATAGTGAAAAACAAAAATAGTGAAATGTGCAAGTAAATTTTCAAAAAATGCAATAAAACAAGCATGTGTAAACAAAGATGGAAGGTTATGGAGGCTTCAATCTGTAAGTTAGGCCTGATTCTTAATGAGAATGTGGGACTACAAAATGCTGTAAAACAAATAACACAAAACTAATATGAATGTGTCATAGTTTGCAGTGAACAACTAGCAAACTAAATTGGAAATTACCAAATTTGGAGCACTCCTGTCTCATATCATCAAGAATCTCTTCATAGTCTTCATCATCTTTGAGCTCATCAGCAGAAACTGCATGAGTTAAACACACCACCTTTGTTGCCACTAATGCTGGTTGTAACATTAGTTTCTACAGATATCAAAAGAATACAGCAGTCAGAATTCTAAACACATGCAGAAATTATTTTGGTAACAAATATAATCCAAGTGATAATTCCATCAAACCTGCAGAGCAATCTGCTGCTGTGCATGCATTAAAATGCTCTCTTGCTCCGGTTTTGGCTGCTGTGGATTTGCACCTTGATTAGCTCGCCTAACTGTAAGAGTCTTGTCTCCCATTTTTATTCCATTTAGAGCAGCACAGGCAATATCTGTAACCGCAAGATCCTGGTAAACACAAAACGCATAACCCTTTGAGTTACCCGTTTCTCTATCTTTCACTAGATCAAAACCCCGTAGCGGACCAAAAGTCTCTAAAAGTTCTCTGATCTGTGTTTCAGTAAAGTAATAAGGAAGTCCACCCACAAAAATCCGATCAGGCCCATCGAGTCCACCAGCCGACCCAGGTGTTAAGCCAACAGCACCCAAATTAAGGTTTGGGTTAGGTTGGCTTGGGCCCAGGGTAGCAGCTAGAGAAGGATTATAATCAGTAGGTCTCCTGACCTTAACAGGTGCCCCCTGAATTTTTAAAAAAAAGTATTAATACAAATTGATATATTCACAATTTCACATTCTCACAAAACAAAAGAATGGACCCAAGCTTCGGGCAACAGTTTAAAAAAAATTACCTCAAAAATAATCCCATCCAAAGCCATTGCATTGCTAGCTTCCTCAACAGACCTCATCTCCACAAAGGCAAATTTCTTGTCATGATTAATGTAAACGTTGACCACAGCATCGCCTGTACAATAAAATTAAAGCAATAAGGAAGATTATAATGCCTGCGAACTGCACAACAAATTGGCAGAAAGGCACAATTCATTTAAGATTATGTACCTGGACCAGCAGTGTTTCCCCCAATCTTAGCCATAACCTGACTGAAGAAAGTTGCAACTGACTGCAGTGTAACAAAATCAAAAGCAAAGATTAAAAAAGCCAAATTATCATAAACAACCAGTTAAAAAACACTAATCCGACTTGTTCTCTGCTTGATAATATGTAATTAACATCTACACATAGTGGGAAATATTAGCATTACTTCCTCAACTCCCAAACATTACAAGCAAGGAGTATGTGAAGATTATATCGCAACAGACTCTAAAAAGCATGATCATATGATGAAACAAGGAAAACTAGTCAGCAAATAGAAAATTTAGTGCATGACCAAATCAACTTAGCTATTCTCAGTTAGAAATAATAGGGAAAGATCATTCTGCTCTAATCTATATTACCTGCTCATTAGCTGTAGGAGGCAGGCCCCCCACATACACCCGCCTAGCATGTCGAGTAGCCTGTAAAATTTGAAAACCATAAAATGGCTGCAATCAGGGACAGTCATACTAAAAAGAAAAGAAGGTAAATTTCATCTCACTGAAAAGCTTTTATTTACCTGTTGTGTCATAGCCTGAACTGGCATGACAGGGAGAGCACTAAATGGCTGCAACTTAAAAAAGACAGAAACAAGAATATAGTGAAACTGATAAAAACTTCATGCTGCATAAGCAGATATGGGGAAAGCAAAACAAAAAGATACCTGACTTGTAGCCAATGGAAACATATTTGGAAACATTCCAGGAATTGCAGGATTTGCCCCAGTGATCTGACCTGAAGACAAAGGTATACTGCATCTCAGAACAAATAAACTATTTTCATCTTTTGCAATCCTAGTACATAAGTATCAAATGACTCCTTTTCCTCCAATTGGCACGAGCTTAAGCATAATTTAACCCCATTATATATATTATATCAATTATATGAATAAGATTAAAAGAACATTATAAACAAGTTCTAGAGATAATATTTGTAAGTCTACCAAAGTAGGTAACAGTTTCCAGTTGAAGACGAACAAGACCCACCAAAAACAGGTGCATTGATTCCTCCGTGGACATAAAAGCTACAGATGTCGGCTCACGCCCATTGTCAGCACAGTGGGGCTAGTAGCCCAACATTGCCTTCTTAGAACATAAGACAAGACATAGAAACAAAACAAACAAACACCAAACACAAGACAAAAAACGAAAGCATCTTTTAGTTCCAGAATTATATCACTAAGTAAAAAGAAAGACGAAATTACACACCATGGGAAACCATTCTTTGAAGAGCTATATACTCAGATAGTAACTGAACATAGCTTACCAAGTTAACACCATGCAATTTGATATGAATTTTCCATACTAGGACAAACAAAGAAAGAAAGCAGTTAAGATAAAAATTTTCATAATATACACAAGAGTAAAATGTACCTGCAACAGAAGAAGCACCGGCCAACATTGCAGAAGCAGGAGGAGCCATATCAAAACCACTAGTCCTTTTACTGTAAGTAAACAAAATTAGCTATTCGAACAATGATGGTAATTTTCATGCCAAGAACAGTTATCAATCAATAATCCAAAGAAAAACTTAACCCATCGAACACAATTTTTAAATCAGGAGGAATTGAAATCTCAATTCTTAAAACCTTTTCCAAGATTTACCTCTTTGAGCGTGAACGAGAACGAGACCTAGATCTATGCTCAGATCGACCCCTTGACAGGGAACTAGATCGAGACCGAGACCTGCGCCTATGCCTATCCTCTCTATCATAATCCCTCCGTCTGTACTATCAAACAATGTCAGATAGAAATTGAAAAATAAAAATGAATGGAAAACAATTAATTGAAAATAAAGATAATCGCTGATGTTTTGGAAATAAGATGTGAATTCTTATGAGACAATAGATTTCATGTAAAACTGATGCTGATGAAAATCCTCAAGCTCCAACTCTGATACAGGGCATTAATATCCCAAATAAACTTTTTACCTGTCATAATCACGGTTTCTGTAATAATCATCATCATCTCTATCCCTTGTCCTTTCCCTTCTCTCACTACGATCCCTGTGTCGATCTCTATGATGGCGGTCCCTTTCCTTCTCACCATCCCGATCCCTTTCCCTGTCTTTGCTTCTCTCCCTATCTCTGTCCTTGTCTCGGCTTCGCTCTGAATCCCTATCCCTACTTCTGTCCCTATCCCTGTCCCTCCCCTTTTCCCTTTTTCTATCCTTTTCTCTCCCTTTCTCCCGCTCCTTTTCTCTGCTTCGGGAAGACTCTCTGTCATAATCGCGAGATCCATGCTGTCAAAAGACAATCAAAAGATTAACAGGGAGTAAACAAACCAATATCTTCAATATTGTTTGACAATATTAACAGTGCATACAACAGTGGTGAAAAAATAAGTATGGTAGCAACAAATATTGCTTCACAGTCAGTATCATGCGGAGTATACAAGAACCAAACAAAAGGTATACACAAGCACAAACAAACAAACAAACAAACCTGCAAATAATGCATCACAATTACACATAAAACACCCTTAAAGCGGCCCAAATTTTAAATTTTTATTATATTTGAAAGATGAAAACATGCGAGAGCACCGCATAAAATGACGAAAATCATCAAATTAGGCGCACAACTAACATACCTGAAACAACAATTTTTTCTTAAAATTAAACAACTAAAACAGAGACTTCTTTAGGTCAAACATACATATAAACAAACAAAAGCAAGAGCCCTCAAATATCCTGGCGATTTCTTCATAAGAAAAGGCCCAGTACAGCACAAAAATGCACAAAACACAGACCTAACCACAACCTACTGATCTCTAAATACACAGTTCAATCAAAATCATAAAAAGAAAAGACCTAACCCCAAATCTCAGCACAATCTACACATCTCATGCAACAGTATAGAGAAAAGGGACGTATGTGCTTAATAGAGTTAGGATTGGAAAGAGGAAAAAGAGAAAAACCCTCATCCGAAACCCTAATTGCGTAACGGCGTAAAAAGAAGAGAAGAAAAGTGGATTACGTGAGATTTGGAATCGGTGAGATCGTCATGGGTAGGTTGAGGAGAGGAATGAGGATGAGAATTGTGAAGCTCTTCTTCTTCTCCGTTCCCTTCGTATCTCTCTTCGTATTCGGCCATGCTTTCTGAGTGCGTTCTCTGTGCTGTGTGTCTTCAGAGTGAGTATTTTGTTTTTTCCTTTCGCTTCCTTCGTTTGCCGATATATCGCATCAAAAATTAATCATTCATTTCGTGGGTTTCCACTCTCTTATATACTCTTCACTCTCCTCCCTCTCCTCTGTCGGCCTAAGCCCATCCCAATTGGGTTAGGGCTCATCCAAACACACTTTCTTAATTATCTTAAATAATTTTCTCTATATCAAATCACTTTTATTTAATTTAAATATAAATTTCAGATATATTATTTTATTATTTTTAAATTTCAAAACATATAAATATGTTTATTATTAACAATAAAATTTTATTTATAAAATAAGATTAAACTAAAGAGATAAAATTTCTAAATTATAAAAATTGAAATAATGCATTAGCAAAAAAAATTGAATTAATGTTAAATATGAACGACACATAATATAATGAAAAATAAATAAAAAAACTCTTATTTATTATAACCTCTAAAATAGTTTTATTTAAGCATATATATTAAAAAATCATGTTTACTCAATATAGAAAGTGGGTGTAGGGGAAGAGAGATAGATTAATTCACCAAATATCAATGAAATGACAAAAGGATAAGTATCTCTTGTTGATGGAGCCGGAGTAGTAAGGCAATATTAATCCAAAAACAACAACTAATCAATGAATAATACAAGTTAATATGAAATATTCAATAAATCAATTTCAAATAGATTTTTTAAATGGACAAACTCAAGAATAAAGGAGATTTTAGTTAGAAGCGTTAAAATAAGAAGTTTGAAACATGGACCATACATGAATATATATTTATTTTATGTTATTACTTGCAAATCTAATTAAGGTTTAAAATTATTTTCATTAAGATTTGTGATTGATTAGATGTATTTTAATTTAGTTAATTTATTATAATTAAGTTTTGTTAGACTATTAGGATGAAGAGTTTATTAGGTTATTAATATTTATTGTGCATATTAAAATTTGTTATTACCAGGGTTTGTTCTCTCTTATTAAGAGTGGTTTCTTATGAATATGAAGCTAGTATTTTAAAATAATTAAGTTGAATAAAATTAGGTTTTTCTTCAAATTGTGATAGTTAGAACCAAAGAACTAATATAATATAAACAAAACAACCTGTGGCAATCAACTTATCAGGCAATGCATTTTTTTTCCATTTCATATCAATTGGTACTCCTTCGTGTGAATCACCAGCATTTAAGCAGAGATAGTACCTATAATCACTAGCTGCGTGTTAAAGGAAGTTTTGACTAGAATATATTAAAATAAGAAGTTTAGACCAAAAACTATAATTGTATCATATTTTATTTGATGTTATTATTTGCAAATTCACTTGCACATGAGATTGATTACATTATGAACTATAATTAATTAGGTTTTATTTTAATTCATTTGAAATTGTTATCACTAATATTTGTTTTTTCTATTAGGGTGAAGAATTTATCTTGTTATTAGAATTTAATTTATTAGGAATCAAATATGCCATCTGCTTACAACATACCTACAAAAGAGTATTTGATATGCTTGAAAGACACTATGATAAAAGTAATTGTACATTTTTACTTATTAGTAAAAATAAAAATAAAAACTCACAAGACACCAATGCTAACATGTACGTGCGACTTTGATCAAGCAATTTTTCAGAAAATATTTTTAATGACTAAAAAGTCTTTTGAGCTTATGAAAGGAGACATAATCCCATACAAACAAGTGAATTTGCAAATTGCAATGAAGTTAATCTCTCAACATAATAAAATGTAACTCTTTAACGCATTTTATCATTCATTATATATTTTTTTTTCATGCCTATCTCTTTATTTATTTCTCTAACATAAAGGGTATATCAAATTGAAGATTTTTTTTTTTTAAATGTTATCTATCAAACTTTGTTAAATAATAATCTACTTCGTTAACCAACAATTATTCAACAAAAGTATTTAATTGCTTACAAAAATTTTGAAACAAGACAAAATCAATTCAACCTCCCTTCCTCTTTTGTAAAAATTTATTCGATTATCTATGATATATTTAAATAATTTAATGAGAGTGCACTTATAATGTCAATAATTTTGTATATTCTCATTTAATTTTTAATTCACTTATCAATAAAATTTATTATTTTTATAATAATTACTTTTAAAAATATACTTACTATATATTTTAATTGATTAACTGTATAAAAATCTTTCCAAATGCATGATAGCGCCTGAAAATTCCAAATCAAAGAGCTTTAGACTAATTACAAAATTTACAAGTTTCAATTTATGATTACAGCCGATTCAAGAAAAAAATATACACAATAAAGTTCTAACATACGGATAACCTCCGTAGAAATAACTTCTTTTAAACCTCGATGACATTCAAATTATAAATTAAAACATTTTAATATGGTGAAGTATAATTTAGTGTCAGTGAAATATAGATACATTATAATTAAGTATATATAACATAAAAAAAATACAAAGCATAAAATAAGACAATGAAATGAGAAATCATATTTTAAAGACGATTTAAATTTATTTTATTATATTAATTATATTATTAAGATCTATATATAATTTCTATTATTACAGTAATCAATCATTAAATAAACAAATAAAATAATAGAATAATAATTAAAAATTAATTACATTATATTTTAAATGCTAAAATTATACAGTCAATTAATAATTATATTTACGGTATTTTTTAATGGTAATATTGAATATAAAAAAGAAAAGTTTAATTTTGTCTCTTAAATAGGAATGGTGAGGAGGGTAAAGAGTCAACGGACCTTAATAAGAAAAAAACCTTTAAAAATAACAATGATGGGGTAACTTCTCAAGTAAATTCTTTAAAGGCAAACTTAAGTATAAAATTTATTATAGTCTCAAGGAAAAGGTTGAAATTAATCAAACTAGGAAGGTGAATGAGGAGAACAACAAGTTTGCAACTCCAAGCCAAAAAGACCAAAGTCATAAGGAAATATTTTTCATTATGCGCAGGATGAATAAAGAATTAAATAATAACTTGTCTTGTAATAAATTCATTCAAGATAAGTTACGTAAGAATATTACTAATTTCTTGAAATTTTAAGACTCTAAAGTTGACAACCTAACAGATAAACCTCCTGACCAAGTCTCCCCAATGGATATTGATATCTTTGACCAAAGTATTAAGCCCTCAACTGCTTGTGAGTTCTTTATTTAGATCTCTTCCCAACATCTTGAAGATGATAGATAATATCCTCAACACTATTATCAATGAACTGTTTTTTTGAAATTGTAGGGCAGTTGGGGAAGATCTTTCAATAGATTAGTGAATGATCTTATAGTTATAGATAATCTTAATTTCATTGCTCCTTTTTGAACCTAGAGTAAATTCTGAGAAAGTTGAGAATATTATTAAAATAATTCATTTTGATAATTCTACAAAAGCTTTGGTCATGAGAATTGAATTATGTCCTGTATTTATGTCAGCCCCAAGAGCATCTTAGGACTATTTGCTAGAAGGAACTTATAGAGTTTAGCTCTTCTATTAGTTGGCCATCGAGTTACCTTGGTGATTTTAATTCTATTATCTTTAATTATGTGAAAGTTGGAGTTAGACCCACTAATCCTAGGGCCTTTACTAGCTTTGCTGACTGTGTCCTTCATTATGACCTATCTTATTTGGATTTGAAGGGTAACATTTTCACTTGGCATAGGAAACCTCAAAGAGAGATTGGACAAAGTTGTATCCAATGACTCTTGATGGCTATCTTTCTCCTATAGCTCTGTAATCCATGTTCCTCTCTTAAAGTCTAATCACTCTTACCTTTGAGTTAAAATTAGATATGGTAACTTCCATAATTAGAATAACAAAAGGTTCAAATTTCTTGCCCTTGATTATCTCATCCTAGCTTCCTTACCCAAGTCAAGAAGTCATGGTTGCCCTCAAAGTCATGGATAGATAATATAGCTACCTTTAGAATGAACATTTTTTAATGGAATAAATCTATTTTTGTTAATATCTTTCATAAGAAAAAATGTTTACTATGTAGAATAGAAAATATTTTTAGGAAACTAGGATCTAATTATAACCATTTTCTTACTAATTCATAAAATCTCTTTGGAAGGATTATCAACTCATTCTTGATTAAGAAGAAATTTTCTAGTACTATCATTATAAAGCTAATTTGATGTCTCTAGAGGATAAAAATACTTGATTCTTTCATAGAGCTACTATTCGTAGGAGAAACAAAAATTGAATTGAAGCTCTAAAAGATAACAACTAGAAATAGGTGTATGATCCTTTTGAGTCAAACTCTGGCTGTTAACTATTTTAAAACCCTCTATTTTGACCTTAACCCTCATGATTTCAAGCTTAATACTCACACCTCCTTTCTTCCCTTAATAGAGTCTAATAAGTTGTTTCTCTCTTTAAAAGTCTATATAGATGAAGTGAGGGCTGCTTTATTCAATATTGAGAACTTTAAGTCCTTAGGACGAGATGAATTTCATGCTCTATTTTTTAAAAATTAATGAAATGTCTTAAGTCAACATATTTATAACTTTGTTCTGGATGTTTTCCAAGATCCTAGAAGAATTATTGATGTTAATGAAACTTGCATCACTCTAATTCCTAAACTTGATAACCTATGTCCATTAAAGAATTTAGACTCATCTCTCTATGTAATATGAGTTATAAAATCATAACTAAAATAATAGCTAACAAACTTAGAGAGTCTTTGCCTTATTTAATCGCTGCCCACCAGTGCAGCTTTATCCATGGTAAGCAAGGGACTAATAATGGCATGATCCTTCAAGAAATAATACACTCATTCCACAACCTTAAAAGCAGAAATAGTTACATGATTATTAAAGTTGACTTAGGAAAAAGCTTATATAAGCTTAGGTGGAATTTCATCATTGATACTTTAGGAAGGATTGGCCTTAATTCATATTTGAGCAATCTCATTAAATCCTACATTACCTCACTTGCAATGGAAATAAATTGTAATAATAATACTACTAGGACCTTTAAGCTTACTAGAAGTATTTGCCAAGGAAATCCTATAACCCCTTATTTATTTCTTTTGTGTATAGAAAGACTTACTCATCTCATCCAAGATAGTATTTTTAGTAATAATTGGACTCGCTTCTCTTTTG